CCTAGAGCAGTCTAATCTTGCCACTCTGTGTTGGTTCTGGATAGCAGCATTCATATCGTCTGGGAGTGTTAGGAATGCAGGAGCCCGGACTCCACACTAGACTAATTAGAATTAGAGTCTGCACTTTGGCAAGTCCCCAGTGCTTTGTGTGCTCACTGAGGAGGCAGGCTAAGGTCGCTACAGAATAGGCTCCGCTTTATTGAACTTAGACCCTGCAAGTTCAAATCCAGCTCCACCACTTACTACCCTCTGGGTGAATTAGGTAACCTCTGTATGGCGGCCAAATTATATAATTACCCGGGGCCTCAGTTTCTCATCAGAAGTTTTGAGTGCTTCATACTGCCTAGATATTATCAGGGATGCAAGCAAAGGGATAACTCTCGAAACTTTGATATGGGTATTCTCTGAGCTGAGGGAAGCCCAACAATTAATGATGTGTCTATGGTAACTTCAGCCCGAAAGTCAAAGCTCTTTAAATTCATGAGATTCTGTGAGTCATCCATGTGAGTATTAGCAATAAATCAATTATCAGTCAATCATGAAGTATTTATGTACTATGGTGTTCAGGTGCCTCTCAAACTTTATGTGCCTATGGAGCACTTGAGGATCTGTTAAAATACAAATTCTGATGCAGTATGTCCATAGGGTGGGCTAAACTCCTGCCTGTTAATAAGCTCCCAAGTAATGCTGGAGTTGCTGGTGTCAGGACCACACTTTATATAGCACGGGTGCAGGCCGGGCGCGGTGGCTCACACCTGTAATCCCAGCACTTTGGGAGACCAAGGCGGTGGAATCATGAGGTCAGGAGATTGAGACCATCCTGGCTAACACGGTAAAACCCCGTCCCTACTAAAAATACAAAAAATTAGCCAGGTGAGCTGGCACGCACCTTAATCCCAGCCACTTAAGAGGCTGAGGTAGGAGAATCGCTTGAACCCAGGAGACAGAGGTTGCAGTGACCCGAGATTGAGCCACTGCACTCCAGCCTGCATGACAGAGCAAGACTCTGTCTCAAAAAAAAAAAAAAAAAAAAAAAAGAAAGAAAGAAAGAAAGCAAGCAAGGGCGTAGAGCAGTGGTTCTCAATTTTTTTGATCTCAGGAATTCCTTTACTGAGAGCCCCCAAAGGCTGTTATTCAGGTTATAACCAGTAATATTCATATCACGAATGATATTTGCCATTTTAGAAATTAAAAAGGGAGTCTCTCTACACCTATTGTGATTTAAAAGGTGGCCCAATAAAAAGATTTAAAAGAAAAACAAAAACATTTTAAACAGAGAATACACACATAGTGACAGCATCATCACATGTCACGTCGCCTCTGGAAGACTCCATTGGACGCCTATGACAGCGTGAGAGTGAAAAAGGCAAATCATCTTTTAGGACTCTTATGAAAATAGTCCAGACACTGCAGAGTCCCTGAAAGGACAGTCAGGGATCCCCAGGATTCCTGGGCCACACTGTTTGAGAACAACTGGTATAGAAGATCTAGCTCTCCGCTTAGGACCAAGTCTTCCTAGTCAAGGGTCTTTCAGCTTTAATAAAAATGGAAGCATTTGAAAAGCTGCCAGGGCACTGCCCCAAATTTGAGCAACCTTTGAAGATCCAAACCACAGGAAGAGCAGGAACATGGCAGGGACTTTGCGTTGGGAAACAGTAAGGAACCCAGTAGTTTCTGGCCTCTACTTCTCCCTCCTTCATTCTTTCCTGCTTTCATGGTACATGGCCCCATAAGGCTCCTGAATGTATGGGCCCTCAGTTCAAGTGGCCTACCACTAACTAGGGCCACTGTTTTCTAATTCCAAACTCCTTGGAGGTAGAATCTGATTGGCCCAGCTTGGATCAGATGACTACTCTTGAGCCAGCCAATCAACTGTGGCCAGTGGGGACAGGCCATGTGGCACACTCATGGCTGCCATGCCCAGCAGTGTGGGGATAAGGGTAGGGAGGGAGGGAGTAGGTGGGCAGTTCTGGGGAAGGAGGATTGGCTTCCTTTGGTGGTCACTCAAAGCTTTCTATAACAGAGCCTGGAGACCTAGGTCCTGCTCCTTCTGCTGGCCCTGGATGTGGACAGGTCAGAACCTGCTTCATCAAGGCCAGATAGAATCGATAACACTACTTGGTCTAACTCATAGGGGTATTGTAGGAATTAACTGAGCTACTATATGCAAAAAGAGCTTTGCATGCTATGTGCTAAGTGTTAGGGGGTCATAATAAAGTATAGCATGCCATTTTTGCCCCCAAGGACCTTTGAATCAAACTAGGAAGAAGATGCTAATACCCATGATACCATTAGAAACAGCAGGTACATGACTGTGCACTAACCAAAGGCAACAGGAGTTCAGAGGAGAGAGATCAACCTAGGCAAGGAGGGGGGAAATAGTGTGTTGAGTGCTTCCTGTGGACTTAGTGCTTGTCCCCTGTGGTTTCACACACTCTAGCTCAAACCTCTCAACAGCTCTGCTATATAGGTGTTGGTGTGCTCATTTTACAGTTGAGAAAACTAAAGCTTAGAGAAGTAACTTGCCCAAGACATGTAGCTGGTATTTCAACCTGTGTCTTATCTGACTTTAAGCGGATGCTCTTTTCACTCCTTACTGTGCAGGAGGAAGATTCTTGGAGGAGTGGAGGTTAGCAAGGGCAAAGCCTGGATCAGGTGTGCATGGGCAGAGGAGAGCATGATCATGGATCAGGTGTGCATGGGCAGAGGAGAGCGTGATCATGGGCTGAACCCGAGGGGATCAGCACTAGGTTGCCACTGGCTGTGTAAGTGATTGTAGATGGCAATGATTGAATGAACGTGTGAATGCATGAACCTATAACCATGGGCTCCTGTCTTATCCTTTTGTCTAATGGTCTGAAAGTCCTGTGGGATGGACTGGGGGCAGTGTGGAGGTAGATCCCCTGTTAGGGGACTAGGGGGCAATGTGGAGGTAGAACCCCTGAGTGGGTTCTTTGAACCCATCAGGGGTCAGTTGATGAGCTCCTGGATTAGCGTGTGCAATAGAAAGGAAATGCAAAGCCTAGATGGCCTTTGAAGGAAGAAACAATAGCATTTGGATACAGAAAATGAAGAAAACCAGAAGTGACTGACTCGCTGCCTGCCTGATTGACTCATTTATTTGGCAATGTTTATTAAGTGCTTCTATGTGGCTGGCCCTGTGCCAGGTTCTGAGAATAGTGGTGGCCCCAATAAACATGGTCTTCACCATGTTTGTCTCTCCATGTAGGGGAGACAAATCAACTTGTAAACCAACACAGGTATAATCTAATGTCAGCGCTCAGTGCCATGATGAAACGGGAGGGAAAGAAAATGATAGAGAGGGTGGAGTGGATGTAAGTTGGTCAGGGAGGGCTCTCTGAGGAGGTGACATTTGAGCAGACAAGTGGGATTCTGAGTTTCCAACCTAGATCTTCTGAGAGACCCTACTGCTTCAGAAAGAGTCCCTTGCGTGTTCCCTGAAGTGCCCTATAGACACGATCCCCATTTGCCATTGAGGAAACTGAGGCAAAGGGAGTGTGGCACACAGAGTCACTCTGCTGGTCAGCCCTGCTGCAGGAGATGAAAACCTGGCTCCCACAGCACCCTCCCTTTCCTGCTGGCAGCTCCCCCAGAAGCCCTCATGCTTCCAGTTCTGCTCGACTCCTCCCTTCCCCCGGAGGTATTTTTAGTCTCCCAGAGCCCCTTCCCCAGTCTGCTGTTGCTCGTCATTCTGCTTGACTTGCTTTCACCTGCTCAGAGGCGGCTGTGACAGGGCTGCGGGCTGCATGTCAAGCTGTCCCTGGCTTCCCAGAGGGGTGGAGGGGGAGGGCAGCTGAGGTGACCACCCTCGGCAGTGCGGGCAGGCAGGAGGCCTGTCAGTGCCCGGGGTGACTGCCAGCGCCTACAGATCCCTTTGGGGTCAACTCTGAGTAATGAGGGCGAGGGAGGAGGGCTGCTGGCTGTCAGCGCTGCAGGGGTGGGGTGGGGAGGGAAACCAGTGGAGGGAGGGAGGAAGTGGAATTTGTTTTGGAGAGAGACAAGCTGAGGAGGTGACAGAGGTGGTAGCTTGGCAGGTGGTGTTGATTGGGAAGTGGGTGTGTTTTCTGAGTGTGTGTTGCAGGCCTAGGGTACAGGCCTTTCCACTGTGAAGTCCCCAGTGAGTGTGTGCATGGCGTGTGTGTGCACAGAGTGTGAGCGTGTGTGTGAGAGTCTCCCAGGCCTTTCAACCACCAAGTCCGCATGGCCACTTTTCCAAGCCAGGCCCCAGGGGCTGCCCCATTTCCCCTGGACCCCAGGCTGCTGCCAGGTCTCATTCCTCACCTGCTGCCCCTCCTCTCTGTCCCCAAAGACCCCACAGGCCCTTTCCTTGGTTGGGAGTGGACTGCTACTCATACCAAAGAATGACACACGTGACCAGTGTGGGACTTACAAAGGTTTAAAAATAAACCTCGCCGTGTTCTTGTCACCACCGCCCTGGTGCTGCAGAGCTGCCAGCAACCTCTCTGACTGGGCTCTTGATTCTTGAAGGTAGAGCTCATTCCACCCCACCCCGGGTCATGCTGACCTGTCTGGAGATTCACACAGGGTGTGGTATCGAAGTCCAGCCCAGGAGACCGTGAGGGTCAAGGTCTTCATCACTGGCTGGAGGCCCAAGGCAGACCACACAGGGAGGCCAAAGCCCATCCCTACTGAGTAGGCCAAGCCTGGGGTGGTGCAGGAGCTCCCCTGTATCTGCACTAGTGCATTGGCCTCCCCTGCATCACACTAGTGCATCAGGACTGTCTGGCTCTGGGACACAGGGGGATGGACACAGGAACCTAGGGAGACAACTACAATTATGCCTCCTTGCCCCCGTCAGGCCTTGCTCCTGATACACGCAGCAGCTGGTCAGCCGAGGGCCTGAGTTGTCATCCTCAGTGGTGTCAGCGAGGCTAGGAGGCTAAGGAGCTGGAGGAAGCGGCCTCAGTGGCACTGTAGTGTGTGGGAATTGGTAGAGGAGGGCTTTTCAGTACGGCTGCCCTGAGTAGCCGAATGACCTTGGGCAAGCTACTTAACCTCTCTATCACTTCAGTCCTTTGATCTGTAAAATGGCCACCCTAGTAGAAACCACCTCTTGGAGTTGTGAAGATTTAATGAGATGATACAGGTGAGCAACTGACTGATTTCGGGCACGCGTCACCTGACCTCTCTGGGCCTCAGTTTCCTCCCCTGTAAGATGGGACTGGTGTTGGCACAAAAGTTGGGATGAAGATGGTGTAAGGAGCTTGCAGAGCGCATGCTCCAGAGCCGTAGTGATGACCGTGGTAACGAGCATCCCATACCCCGATGTCTCCCCAGGCTCGTGGCTCTGCGGGGGGCAGGAGGAGGCACGACGCCGCCTCTCAGGAAGACCACGACAAACCTTACGTCTGTGACAGTAAGTATGGGCCGGTCCCACCTTCCTTCTTCTGCCCCTGACCCAGGGCCCCCCTTCCCTGTGCTTCCTTGGCCGTCCGCCTGCCAGCCTCAGCGTGTGCTCGCCTCTTCCTCTCTGTCCGCACCCCAGCTTACCCGCCTGTCACCTCCGCCGCAGTCACCACTTCCTTGGGCTGCTGCTGCCCCGGGAGGGGTTTCTGCAGAGGGGAAGCCAGCCGGGGTGGCCCCCACCCTCAGTTCTGTGCCCCCACCTCCTGCCATGCCTCCTGCGTGGCTCTCCTCTGGCTCTCTCTCTCACGCTCTCTGTCTCCTTAAGATTCATCCTCTATTTCTTTCTGTATTTCAGAGAGTTACAAACAAAAGCATAACTCAAAACCCTCCGACAAAGGTACTTGGCTCGTCGTGGCTTTTCATTTGTTTCCCTTTAATTTCCTTTCCCTCTTTCTCTCCTGTCCTAGGTAGGGCAAGTTATGAATCTTTCTATGACGATGACTTACTTTAATAAATGGCCCTCGATCCATCTCTAGTCTTTCCTGCTTGCTCAGAAACATCTTTTGGACAAGCGACTCCCTGGCTGACTCCTGAATTTAGGGTCTGCAGACAGAGCTAGGGAGCCCACGGGAGGCGAGTTGCAGGGAGCCAGGGCAGTGGGTGGACCTCTGGAAACCTGCAGCTTGAGGAGGGATGTGGTCAGCTCCAGACAGCAGAGCACTGAGTGGCGGATTGAAAACCTGTGCCCTAGTCATCTTCTCATGGTACTGGGTACCATTTGCTCATTCCATGGGAGGGCAGCCCTCACCACCACACTCCTAATGGTCTTCCCTTGCCATCTTCTCCTCTCTGAGGATGCAGAGCTTCACCATAGGAGGGAAGGGGCTGCAGTGAGGATGGCAGTGAAACAGTCGAGGCTGGACCCTGGCATGGGGCTCCCTCTGGGTGTCCCACCCATCTCGCTGGGGTCTGCAGTCTCCCTGAAGGCAGGGAGAGAGCCAGGCGGGGGGCGCCCAGGAGCGGGCTGGGGGTGGTGTCTTTTGTCTCCCCCTTCAGTGGCCTCTTTTGATTTCAAAAAGTTGTTCTGTGTCCGATGGGTGACAGCTGATTGGAGAACATTTTGCTAGAAGAACTCAAACTCCATGACCCCCATTTGGCTGCTTAATACTCCGTGCAGATGCCATTCTCGAGACAACTCCTGCAGGTAACGTCTCCACCCCAAAGCAATTCCAATCCAGGATGAGGAGGGAGCAGCGCACGGGGTCTGGTGCCTTTTGGCAGCACCAGGAAGTGCCTACCTTGGCCTGGGTCTTGCTTCCTACATGGCGTTCAGTTTCACTCTGATACGTAGAAGCCCAAGCCTGCTGACCCTTGAGAGACTGGCTCTAGGCCATGGGCTGGGAAGGGCCCTCAGACCCCCTTGGGCTTTCCAGCTGTGTTTGGCTTGACCAGTACATCTATCAAGAATGCGGTGGCTATGGCCAGGCATGCGGTGGCTATGGCCGGGCGTGGTGGCTCACGCCTGTAATCCCAGCACTTTGGGAGGCCGAGACGGGCGGATCACGAGGTCAGGAGATCGAGACCATCCTGGCTAACACGGTGAAACCCTGTCTCTACTAAAAAATACAAAAAACTAGCCGGGCGAGGTGGCGGGCGCCTGTAGTCCCAGATACTTGGGAGGCTGAGGCAGGAGAATGGCGTGAACCCAGGAGGTGGAGCTTGCAGTGAGCTGAGATCCGGCCACTGCACTCCAGCCTGAGCGACAGAGCGAGACTCCGTCTCAAAAAAAAAAAAAAAAAAGACATTGACTTCTATACCTCCACTACCCATGCCTAAGTTGAAGAATTGAATGCTTACCTCTTCTGTGACTCCCTGACCCCAATAGAGAAAGCCCTTCAAGACACAAAATTAGACAAGCGACAGAGCAAGACTCTGTCTCCAAAAAAAAAAAAAAAACAAAAAACAAAGAATGCCAACAACTGCTTTGGAACTGGGGCATTGCTACTGTATTCTTCTTTTATTTATTTGTTTTAGAGAGGCTCTCGCTTTGTCACCCAGGCTGGAGTATAGGGGTGCAGTCATAGGATTATAGCTCACTACAAGCCTTGACCTCCTGGACTCAAGCCATCCTCCTGCCTCAGCATACCCAGCAGCTAGGACTACAGGCCAGTGCCGCTATGCTTGGTTAAGTTTTAAAAATTTTCTGTAGAGACGGGGTCTTGCCTAGGCTGGTCTTGAACTCCTGGTTTCAAGTGATCCCCCTGCCTCGGCTCCCAAAGTGCTGGGATTACAGGTGTGAGCCACTACGCCTAGCCCTTTGTTCCTCTTTTAAAATGCTTTATCTTCATATGTGATTGTCTGCTACCATAGACAGTGGGATCCCTTTTTGCTTTATCTCTACAGCTTTCACTGGATTCCCAGCCAATCATAATCCCGTGGACTCCAGACACACACACCTGTGTGCCGTTTCTCCGACTTCACCCCCTCCCAGTTCCTCTCCTCCACCTTTGCCTCTGACTTCTGCCTCCTTGTGGATCATCTCCATGAAGTGCCCTTTGGGGGCGTCCCTCTCTTACCGGGCACCCCTCTTCTGCAAAGTACTTGCATCACGCGCTCTCTCTTGAGCCCCCGTGGCTTCGTTTCGGGGCTCTCAGTGCCCTTGGCTTCTCCCGATGCCCTCCCCGCGGGCTCTCTCCCGCCTTCTGTGTGCCCTGTAGTGCCTGGGAGGCCTGATGGCAGGCTTTCTGGAGTCTCAGTGGCTGCTTTCTTGGCTCTGTCCGCATGCGTGCTGCCTCCTCTCCCTCTCTCGGTGGAGCAGGGCCACTGTCGATTACCCTTCTCTGTTCTGGCTCTCTTAGGAAATTGTGTGGCAGCTCGGTGATTAATAGACTTTATTTTTATCTGGTGCCCTTCAGACATGTGATCCTTTGGGATAGAAATGACCTTTGGAGAGGTCACGAGGCCCACCCCCCCACCCCAAACTGGGCAAGGAGTGCTTTTAATAATCTCTAATGCATCCTAAGTAGAGAGGTGTCTGGCCGCCTCCTCGAGGGGTCCCCAGGGATGGTGTTACCATAAGCTGCCCTTTCTTCCAAGATGCCAGCTGTGCTTCGAATGAGTGTTTTTCCTTAATAGGAGCTGAAAATTTTCTCTCCTACAGGTCCCCTTGTCGTTTGCGCATCTTTCCCTAACGAATAGGCACATTAGGGCTTTGTCCATTTGGGAGACCTTCTGAACATCCTGTACGTTCTTGGTTGACTTAGGACCCCAACCCATAGTCTCTGTGGCACCCTGCTCGGAATTCCCTTCCAGGTCTACACTTAAGCATGACACTCCTAGGAAGCAGCGTCAAGTCCAGGTGGCTCAAAGAGCAACAGACGTATTTCCTTATTTATGCCCTGTCCACCCTCTCATCAACTTACCAGTCGGAGCCTGTCCCAGCCCTGGTGTCGATACCTCTCCAGGTGCATGCTCTTTTCTACTTATGCATTTGATTATTCCTTCTTCTATAAATCACCTGCATTTGGTCCCATTGAGTCTCAATAAACAGATCCAATAATATGTGACTTCAATATACAAGATTCAATAAAGGCAAATTTAAAGACATTGCCCAGTAGTTAAATTTCATTCTCCACAGATTTGCCATCCCTGCCATTTTTGTATCATCTATGGTGTGATTTGCATAATTCCCACTCCATCTTTCGAGTTATTTATGAAAATATTAGATCACCTTGGACCCCAACTCCTTTCTGGGTTTATGTGGAGTGGTAATAAGCTATATTCTGATGTGATTTATTTAACCCTTCCTGGAATGCATTCCTGAAGATAGTGGTCCTATGTGTGCTGCTTCCAAGCTTCCTTTTCAAAATGGGTGGCTGGAATATTATTGTAGCTGCTAACGCCAGGTGATAGAGAGTTAGCCTGATGCCTTTCACTCAGTCATTGAATTTCTTCCATCTCAGAGAAATATTAAATCACCTGAACGTGATTGATGTTTTACCCAATCCATGGTGTATGGATGTATGAATACTTTGTTTTCCAGCAAGTAACCAGTCTCTTTTAATTACCTTGAAAGTTTACCAAGCTTAAGGATTAAAGTTCTGTTTCTTCCCTTTTAATCTCTTGCCTAAGGAGAAGTGTTCTTATGCACAAAGACAGCAACTGATAGGACATTGTGGAAAAGGCTGTTGGTGTTTGTGAAAGTGTAGACCTGGACCAGCTGCACAGCAATGCCTAGATGCTTCTTAGAATTCAGACTCCTGGGCCCCACATCAGGCCTCCTGTATCAGAATCACTGAAGGGAAGGCCAAGGGGCCTGCATTTTCTGAGAGCTCTTCAGGGGATTCTTGTGTATACTGGTTTTTGACAGTGATAAGTCTACTTCATTTAAACATGAAGGCTTCTGGCTCCTGACTGCTCAGCTCTTGTTTTCCCTGCTTTTTGCATCTGGACATTCTGGAGTCTCCAGGAATTCTCCAGGCAGGTTGCCACTGGCTTGCACCAGTGTTTTAGTTGGTCTCCTTAGAATCTATTCTTTCCATTTATTTCCATTGATATACAACTCAGCAATCCAGTGCTTGATTTTTCATTCACTTAGTCGCTTTAAATCCTAGCAGTATCCTTAGCCCCGTTTTATAGGCGGGATGGTAATGGGACAGGTGGTGGAAGGAATCCTTGGATTTGGGCTACTAGAAAGTTTTAAAAGTCATTTCAAGAGTTTGCCTCTTCTCTTCCTAATTGCTCCCAAGCCTGAATTTTCTGTTAGCGTCATTGGAGCCAACTCCTGATGAGAGACCCACTTTTCCATTTCTTTGTTCAAGAAACATCATAGAAAAGAAGTTGGTGATGACGATGTGTTGTTCAGGGAGAACATTTTGTCTCTAAGCATTAGCCATGCGGGGAGGAGCAAAGCAGGCAATGCCCTTTTGCTAGACACAAGGAAGCAGTGTGGGAAGTTTTCTTTTCTCCTCAAAGTGTTTTTTGAATCATGGTCTTAATGCTTGTGAGTGG